GGTGGGCTGCGGGAGTGGGTAAAGAGCACGCCTATGGGCTTTGAGACCCAACACTGGCGGTTAGGAGCCGTGGCCAGACTCCTGAGCTGCGTTAGCTGTGAAATGGGAATACTGACATATCCTCGACTCTTGTAAAATGCTGCAGACAGCTGTGTACGTGTGAAAGCTCTTTGCACTTGACCCTTGGTGGTGACCAACATTCACACTTCAGTGGCAGTTGGTGTGCACCAAGCACGGATCTAAGCCCACCTCATGTGTGAACTCATTGTATCCTCACAGCAACCCCATGGGGGGATACTATTACTGTCCCCATTTTAAGGTGAGGAAACCGAGGACCAGAGAGGGGAGTGACAGTGAACCCCACAGCCTGTCTCCAGACCCCACTGTTTTAACCTTGACAGCATATTTTTCTCTTACAGCGTGAATGGATACTTAGGAAATGGTAGCTGCTGCTATTATCATTTTTTAAATTATTTTCTTTTGATAATCTTAACAACTTCTGAACTTTGCCCAGCACTTTTCACCTGCTGAACCTTTTTCTGGTGATGCTCCTGAGGGACTGCACTCATTTGTTAGATACGAAGACTGTGGCCTAGAGAAGCAGCCACCCTCCAGATCATGGCAGAGCTGGAGTCCCCTCCTGAGATGTTGTCACTCTGTGGCTTCTGAGGTCATCTCCCCACCAGGCTGGAGGAGGCTGGAGACCAGGGCCCTGGTCAGAGGGCCCCGCTGGCCCATGGCTTTGGCTGCAGCTCTGATGTTCCAGACACCAGCCAGGCCGGGTCTCCCGGGGCGGCAGAAGGGGCACAGGGGCACCCTGCCCAGCTCTGACTCCTGGGTAGGGGGCCTTAACGAGGAGAGAATGTGTGTTCGCAGCTGCAAGTCACACTGGGCATATGGTCTGTCCCCGGCTAACTCGGACAGCAGGTCATCTGTAAAATTGCAGAGTTAAAATAGCACAGTCATTACCCACCACAAAGCCAAAAATAACCAGGACCGGAACTGGGCTGTGGACTCAGGCCTGTATTTGCCTGGGGGCCTCCGGGAGCTCTTCCTGAAGCCCGAGCTCTTCCTGAAGCCCGGGCTCTTCCTGAGAAGGAACATGTGGCCTCCAGCTTATCTGAGGTGACTAGATGGTGAGCGAGCGGGCGTGTAGAAAACCCTACGTGTCTGTCTGTACTGAGTGGTGCTGGGTACGGGGAGGGCGTGGGGCACGAGAGACCTTACACCTCGTTGAAGAGATGAGTCATGCCCAGAAGTACAGGAGCGGGGGAGGCAGGCAGGGTTCCCTAGAGGAAAGGAGGGAGAGGAGGATCCCAGCTGGGCGTGGGAGGACGGGGTGATGGGCATTCGGGGATAAGGGAGAAGTAAGATGAGGCAGGACAGCCACATTGGGCAGGAGTGCACCTTCCCCATACCAGTTCCTGGGGGAGGCAGACACACAGTAGGCAGCTGCTTGGTGGCGGGTATTGTGGCTGCGGGAGGGAGAGAAGGAAATCCACGTTTGAGAGAGGCACGAGGAGCCCACTGACAGGAGGGCTGAGGCCTGTTTACTGAGCACCTACTGTGGGCGGGGCTGTCTGCTAAGTGAGTTACATTTTATTATCTCATTATCTCGTTTTATTATCTTATCCAAGAGTCTAAAGCAGCCCTGTGAGCCAGGAACTGCTGTTTCCCCTATTTTATCAATGAGAAAACTGAGGCTCGGGGAAGATCAAGATCACTCGGTGTCAGAACTGGGATTCTAGGATTAAGGCCCTTGCTCTTAACCACTAGGCTATACTACCTCAAAGAAGGCTTCCTGGAGGAGGCTGGATGGGGGAGTGGTAATCAAATGAAGGGAAGGGCATTTTGGGTAGAGGGAACTACTTGAGCAAAGGCGCAGAAGTGGGAAAGTAAAAATTACATCATGAGGAAAGCTCTGCATGGTTGGAGCTTCCGTTGTATGTGTGTGCATGTGTGTGTGTGCAGGGGTGTTGTGGGAGAGGAGACGGGGGAACCTGTAACTCCCCAACGGTCATCGTGGGACTTGCCTGTCGTGGATTTGGAGGGGGGCTCTGACTTGCTGTGTGACTTTGCACAAGTCCCCTCCTTCTCTGGGCCTCAGTTGCATCATCTGTCTAGTGAGGGGTTTGGGCAGAGGGTCTCTGAGGCTGCTGAGTGGCAACCAGTCTAGCAGGGCCCTCTTCCGAGAGGCTACAGGATAGGAGAAGGGTCAGGCCAGGGAAAGAGGAATGCAGAAAAATGCCAGGCATTTCAGAGGTCAGGGAGGACTGGGGAATGTTTTGACAGCAAAGAGGTCATCTGTGACCTTGGTAAGCTTAGGCTCTTTGGAATGGAGGGGGCGGAAGTGGTTTTGGAAAGGGGCCAGGAAAGCCCCAAGCCAGAGACAATGGGAGAGTGGGGACATGAAAATGGGGGGAGGAAGGATGTTTGCCATAGGGCAGGGATGGGTAATGGGATGAACAAGGCCTCCCCTGATTGATTGGTGTTGCCTGCCTGGAGCCTTGTGTTGAGAAACAGTCCAAAGCCTGTAAATCAGGGAGTAGAGTCACTGTTGATTAGCAATGTCTGCCGAGGACACAGGCGACTGAGGGCAGCACGTAGTTTGCCATCCTTGCTCAGGTGGATCTTGGGTTGAAAGTGGTGGTCTGGGTGTCTTGACCTACAGAAGGGGAGCCTCAGGAATTAGGAATTGTGGGAGGAAATACTTCCAGCCCCAGGAACTTCTCCCTGACCTGTTGCTCGAATTACAGTAGTTTGCCTCAGGGAAGGTAGTGGTGGCCTGATGGTCAGGAGCTTGGGCTCTAGAGTCAGATGGACAACTAATTTGACAAATAATTATCCTTTGAGCCTCAGTTTCCTCGTATGTGAAATGGGAATGAAAGACTGCCTGCTTGCAAGGCAGCTGTGCATGTGAGAGCTAGTGGTCAGAGCTGCTGCTTTGGTACTATTGTCGTCCTTGTTTCGTGTTAGCTCTCTTTGGCCCTGATGATGGTGGTGCTATTCTTGGTTTCTTTGAGAGCAAGGCCCATGTCTGAGTTGCTTTGGGGCCCCCATCACCCAGCCTAGGACTAGGACAGCTCAGGGACTTCCTGATTCTTTTTGGAGGATCAAATGAACTAGGCACGTGGTTGATGGGACAGAGGATGGGGTCACTTTGGGATTATCTCAGCAGGGGCTGGGCCTCATGTTGGGGTGGAGGCCCAAGGGCGAGGGCTGGATGGCCATGGGCCAGGGGCCAGAGCTGAGGATGGGCTTGGAGGCACTGCAGGCCTGAGAGAGGCCTCAGGGTTGTCAAGGTCACTCCTTCACTCAGCAAATATTGAGTGCCAGCTGCATACCAGGTTCTGGATGACCAGTCAGCAAGTCCCTGCTCATCTGGATCTCAGTCCAGGGGGCTGGGTACACCTGTCAGTTCTCGTATGACTCATTCCCCTCAGCACACACGCGTTCTTTTTCAGATGAGGATGCAGTCTCAGAGAGAGAGAGTGGCTTGCTCAAGTCAAATCCAGAGAGATGTGGGTGTACGAGGCTCCTTCTGGCTGCTGGAGGAGGAGGGCTCTAGGACGGGAGCTAGGAGTGGGCAGCACAGGCCCCGACTGGGTAGAGGACCTGGTGGTGCCACCTGAGCCCAAGGTTTCCGCTCCCGACGTGCAGGAACCCTAGAGTCAGGCTGCGCCTTGAAGGGGAGCCCAGAGCCCTGCCAGGGCCTCTGCTGCCCTGGAACCAGCAATGCCCAGTCGTAGACTTTCTTCCTGCGGCTCTTCCGTCAGAGCCGGTGAAGGAGGCAGGGGGGGCACCGACTTCTCCCAGCTGCCTTCCCAGGAAATGGTCTGGGGAAGCTGGCCCTGGCCTGTCCGGATCCTGCTCTATCTGAGATTGTAGGTGAGGCCGAAGAGCTGTTTCCATTTTACAGATGAGTCCGTAGCATCTGAGGGAGGATGAGGGACAAGTGGAGGGCCCGGACACACAGGGGTGTGGGGTGTTCATTCGTCCTGGTGATGGGCCCTGAAAGGATCTCTGGAGACCTTCGTTCCCGTTCTGGCCTCACTGCTTCCCAGCTGAGGGTTCTGGTGCCCCTGGGCCTCAGCTCCTGGGGAGGAACCCTGGGGATGGTTACAAGCAGTGCCACTGAGGAAGCCACACTTCCCCTCCTGTCCGTCTGTCTGCTCCGGGCCCTCTCTTGTGAGTGGGGCGAGGTGGGGGCCTCTTCCCAGCTCTCCCTCCTGCTCCATTTCCCCACCCGGCGAGCTGGCTCATCCCCTCATTTCCCAACCTTCCTGACCTCAGTCATGGTCACAGTTTTCAGAGGATCCTTCCCCTGTGCCCTGCTCTGTGTCGTTGTCACAGCCCAGGCATTATTAGTCTCAGAGAGGAGAGGGGACTGCCCCGAGACGGTTCAGGTGGTGGGAAACAGAGCTGGGATTCGAGCCCAGGTCTGCTGGGCTCAGGTAGCCTTCGTGTGATATCATTTAGAAATCACCTCCCCCTTTCCCCACTGACCTTTACCCCTCCCTGCTCTCCTTAGGCTGCTGGCTGTTTCTGGGTCTGCCTCCTCCCTGCCTCTTGGCCTCTATGGCTGTGCAGATGGAGAAAAGGAGAGCAGGCTGGGGCTGTGGGAAGCACCCAGGTTTGAATTCTGGCTCCAACCCTTTACTCATTGTATGTGGCCCTTGTCTAATGACTTCACCTCTTGAGCCTCGGTTTCCTAATCTGTAAAGTGGGGATGATATCCACCTCACAGAATTGCATTTAAGATCCAGTGTGAAAATGACATGGTTCGCTCTCAGCAAGTGTTAGCGTTGAAGTGAAAAATTTGGGCTTTGCACTTGAAGATATGGGTTCGAATCTTGGCTCTTGAACTCGCTGGCCCTGTGGACTTGGTTATGTGGTTGCACCTCCCTGGGCCTCAGTGTCTTTGTAAATGGGTATAGTTAAAGCATCTGCCTCCTAGGTTCTCGTCAGGATCAATGAGAATATTTTATGTAAAGCTTCTTACCGTGGTGCTTGGGATGTACTGGAAAATGTTAACCCTTCCTTTATTAAAAAATCAAAATAATGGTAGATGGGGGGACCCCAGTGCCCCTTGCTGGGTCTTCCTAGGAAATGGGGGCTGGCAAGAGCTGTTGCTGTGGTGGGCCTGCCCAGCAGGGGCTGAGGGCCTGTCCTCCTCCTGCGCAGAGCTGCCCGAGAACTGGACAGACACTCGGGAGACACTGCTGGAGGGGATGCTCTTCAGCCTCAAGTATCTGGGCATGACGCTGGTGGAGCAGCCCAAGGGCGAGGAGCTGTCGGCCGCTGCCGTCAAGAGGATCGTGGCCACGGTGAGCCCCAGTCAGGTCGGGGTGGGGGTGGGGGCATGAGACAAGGGCCAGCTTCTTCCCGGGGTGCCACTTGTCCCCCACTTATTACCCCATTAGGTGTGTGCGAGCCATCTCTGCCCTGGGTCCCCTTGCATCCGGCTTAGGGGTTCTGGTAGAGGGGCCGTTGGGCTGGCAGCACCAGGGTCAGTGTCCTCCTCTCCAGCTGTCGTGGCCATGGCCTCTCCTAGCCTCTGCTCCCCCAGCTCAGGCCCCCTGCCTAAGCGTTGGTGACTTATCAGTGCCAGGGAGGGGCAGTGGGAAGGTTGCTGTCACCCAACCACTTGCCCTGTGGCCTGAGGGAGAGAGTAGCCCGCCAGAGACCCATTTCCCCCTCCCCTGCTCCTAGTGAGCGTGGGCCCTATAAATCCACTTCCTTTGGTGGCCTTGGACCCCGTAGGTCAGACCCTGGCAGGTGCAGTGGGTGGAGCGGAGAGTCCCCATCCTGCCAAGTTGTGCTCAGTCTGAGGTCCCTCCTAGCTGTGTGTCCTTGGGCAAGTCCCTCAACCTCTCTGAGTCCGTTTCCTCCTGGGGAGAAGCCGTCCTGCCTGTGAGGATGACTCGAGGCCCAGTGCTTGGCGGAGAGCAGGTGCTCCACGAGCAGCAGTTGTCCCTGTCTTTGTTAGAAGAGGCTGCTGGCTGAATTGCTTTCCCCCCGCGCCTGCCAGGAGCCTGCGCCGAGGCCTCCCATGGGCGTCCCGTCTGGGCATGCAGCAGCTAGGTGTAGCCCACGAGGGTGGGTCCCAAGTGAGGCAGGCAGGCTCCTCTGACCCACGTCTGCCCCAAGGCCAAGGCCAGCGGGAAGAAGCTGCAGAAGGTGACTCTCAAGGTGTCTCCACGGGGGATTATCCTGACTGACAACATCACCAACCAGCTCATTGAGAACGTGTCCATTTACAGGTAGGCCCAGTGTCGCCCGTTCGCTCTGCCACTGGGGCAGCGGGTGGAATCCGGACTCCACCACTTCCCGTCGGGGTGACCTTGGAGCCTCACTGTGCTCATCCACAAATGGGGCGGGAGCAGGTCCTGCCTTGCTGTGCGGCTGTGGAGCGTTGAGTGCAGAGCGCCTGGCTCACAGTGAGCGCTGGGTTAAGTGGCGGTTGCAGCCGGCAGCTGACGCCCGATCAGGCTGGGGAAACCGCCCCCCTTCCCCGAGCCTGCTGCTGAGTCAGACTTGGAGCAGAGAGCTGCAGAGTCACTGCCTTTTCCTTCCGGCATGAGTGCAGCAGCTCAGCTCTGGACATCTGGCCAGGTGTCCAGGGTGCCCTCAGGCAAAGTCTGCGGCCAGAGTGTATCTTCGGTATCTATGCTCTGTAGCCAGTGGCTGGGGCGGGGCGGGGAGGAGGGGGCAGACGGCCCAGGTCCATTTTAAAGATGGAGAAGCTGAGGCCCAGAGAGGGAATTACCTAAGGCCTTACGGTAAGATATCAGTTGGGACCAGGAGACTGGGGCTGGAGTTCTGTGCAGCAGGTCCCCCCACTACCAAGCATCCCTTCCCCTTCTTACTTTGTCTCCAAGCAGGTGGCTCTGCCGGCTGGAGCACTAGCCAGTACTGGGGTCGACGTGTGTTGGGGGTTGTTTTAGAGTTTCTGGCTGGTGTCTTCCTCTCACCTTCCTGATTCTACCTGCCTCCTTTAACCACCATTTTCCAAGTATGTACTCTGCTGGGGTCTGTGTCAGCTGAGGAGTCAGAGCCAGCCCCTGCCCTCAAGGAGCTTCCCATCTAGGAGGGAATGGACGGGAGAAATAGGAGATAGGGTGTAAGTGTTTCCCAAGAGGGCAGAGAAGGAGAGACCTGCCGGGGGAAACCTGGGAAGGCCTCCCAGAGGAGGTAGCAGGAGGCTGGATCCCCTGAGATGGAGAAGAGGCAGCTGGGGACTTAGCACCCCCTCCCTCTACCTGCCTGGGGGTCTTAAGTGGTGCTGATCCCTATGTCAATGCTTGTGATTGAAGCTGCGGCCGCTCAGGGTAAGGGAGTCTGCTGAGTCCTGTCCCACCTCCAGCCCCTCCCCTGATTGAGATTCTCAGGATGACTGGAGGCAGCATGGAGGGATCAGACAAGGCGGGGCACATGTTCCAAGAGGAGGGAGCTGTCTCCCTCCTGGATCCACTGGGGTTCCTGGTCTGGTCATCCTCACACGCTGCCCTCCTACTCCCAGCTCTGCCGCCGCTGGCCACCGCTCCAGGAGAACTTGTCTCGCCCAGTCACCCTGGGGGAGACGGGACCGGAATTCGCGCGACCTCTGGAAAGAGGCATGATCAGAGGGCAGGTAGGGGAGGAGGAGGCCAGGTGAAGGGCATCAGTGGAGGGCAGTGTCCCATTTCCCCTTCCAGCTGGTCCCTTAAGAGGCAGCACGGCAGTGGTCACAGCGTCTGGAATCTGCAGGTGAGCTCAGGTCTGTGCTCTGCTACTAGCCTGGTGGTCTGAGACAGTTAGCCTCAGTTTTCTCGTCAGAAAAGTGGGGAAAATAATAGGACCTATCTCAGAGGGCGGCTCTGAGAATTAAATGAGGTGATATGTAGAAAGCTCTTGGCACATTGCCTGGTATACAGTCAGGACTCAGCTATTAGTATTTTGGGGTGTGGCTCGTTAGAGGGGGAAGGTGTCCTTTCTCTAGCGTTTGCCTCCACTCCTTCCTGCCCAGCCTGGGTCGCCCCGCATAGAGGGCCCAGGATGCCAGCCCAGAGGCCAAGCCTGTCCCTCTGGAGTCTCGCCCTGGTGGGTGGGATAGCAGGCTCTCTGGATCTCAAGGGAGATGTCCTCTGGGCCATCCCAGATGTGGTCAGGCCCCTGTGCTGGGGTCTGGTGACACTTCCCACTTGCCTTTCAGGATCTCCTACTGCACGGCGGACAAGATGCACGACAAGGTGTTTGCGTACATCGCCCAGAGCCAGCACAGCGAGAATCTTGAGTGCCACGCCTTCCTCTGCACCAAACGGAAAATGGTCAGTGGGGAGGCCGGGGCTGGGGCAGGCTCTAGCCTCGCCTTGGCAGCCCTGCCCTGGGGGGCCCTGTGTAGTGGTGGAGGCAGGACCGAAAGGTGATAGACACTTAAAAAGGTTTGAAATCCCTGGGCACCCCAAGTGGGTGCTGGGAGCTGAGGGTGCTGAGTAGGGCTGCAGTCAGGTGGGTACCTGTCAGAGTGGGCTGGCCTGGCTGGCCTGTGGGCAGTGACGAGCCTGTGTCCCCAGTGAGTGCCTGGGGCCCCTTCCTTTCTGTAAAGTGATTTCTTGTATTTGAGGTTTTTGGAGGTCTCCTGTCAATAGTATGGTCTGTGGGTGCAGGGTCTTATAGGGACTAGTCCTTGGAGATTGGTGTTTTGGGGTCCCAGGATGAAAGAGGAAGGCGAGAGCCCTCAGAGGACCTGGCTTGCTGTGGCCAGAGCAGGGCGGGAAGTGGCCGTTTTTTGGTACCTACTATGTGTCTGTTTCAGTGGTAGGCTTATGAGGTATCTTCTCATTTAATCCTCACAGCGGCTCTGCGAGGTGGGAGCTGTTACTCTCTTCACTGTTTTGATTTTTATTTTTAAAGAGGAAACAGCCTCACAGAGGTCAGCAGTCTTGCTGAAGATGGCATAGCCAGCCAGGGAGAGTGAGGGTTTGAACTCAGGTTTCTCCCCTCCCTGCGTGACTGTGAGGAGCCAGGAGCTCCTTGCCCCGTTTCCAGGCCACCCTCTGACCACGTCTAGCTGGGACGAGTGGGACCCTCGGTGGTCTCTGGGGCAGGCAGCAGAGTGAGTCCACCTTTGGTGTTGAAGTTTTTGTTTCTGAGGCCCCCAGGGTCTGAGCCTCCACCTGTAAGGAGGTCCCTGACATTTATTGACTTAGTATTGGCCTCTGTTAACTTCTGTGTGCAGAGCTCAGAGCCCCAGTCCCTGTGCCCCATGGGCCTTGGGGCCACGGAAACAAGCTCGTTTCCACTCTGCCTGTCACCAGGACACATCAGGGACCTCACAGTCTGTACGTGGGCCCCCAGGCTTCCGCCACCCATCAGGGCCCCCTTTCCAACTTCAGAGCCAGTGGTGTAGCGTCTTCCAATCCCCTTCTCTGCTTCCGTCGTCACATTGCTATTTCTGACTCTCACCCTCACCCTCCGGCCTCCCTCTCGTAAGGCCCCTTGTGATTGGGCCCACTGGGTAATCCAGGATAATCCCCCGTCTCAAAATCCTTAACTTAGTCACGTCTGCAAAGTCCCTTTTGGTCACACTCATAGGTTCCAGGGATTAGGATGTGGACATCTTGGCCATGATTCGGCCTACTGCAGGTCTTGTGGAAGGAGCACTACAGGAGGAGACAGACTGGGCTCTGGGCCTAGCTGATGTGCTGTGTGACCCTGGATAAGACCCTGCCCTTCTCTGGGCTGCATGCCCATCAGCAGAATGAAAAGGTCACTGAGGTGACCTCCAGGATTGTTCTGAAAGCCCCAGTTTCTTCCGCATACCTTGTTTCTTTCCTGCAGATGCAGGCACCAGCCACTCACTCAGGGCCTCGTGATGCCCCAGGTCTCTGAGCTGCGGTGGCTTCTCCCGTGACAGCCTTGTTCCCACAACGGTGACTGTTGGCCTTGTCTCATATGAGGCCACACAGACTTGAAAATACAAGTTCATTGTGTGCCCATTGTTGGTCTCTTCCTCCCCAGTGGCCAGAGCAGGCACTGGGCAGGGCAGCTGGCCCACGGCCATTGCTGCAGAGCGGGGAGCCTTGCTGGGAGGGGTCTCCCAAGACGCAGAGGCTTCCTCCGGGGTGGGAGGTCAGGGGTAAAAGAGAACGGATGCTGACCCCGCGGCTAAAGGAGGCCTGGCCTGGGGCCAGAGGACTTTAGACAGGCTTGAACGAAATCAGCCTGCCCCCAGGCCGAGAGGTCAGTTATTGAGGAAAACAGCCCAGTCGCTGCTTGGTGACTGCCAGCAGAGCCCTGATTGGGCAGAGGGCAGGGCTATTGCTGGACATGTAGGCCCAGGCTCCTAACTTTTCTTGTCACGTTCTCATCTGTGGTCAGGGGCTGACTGGCTGGATCGCAGCTTATCCTTCTCCACCCTTTCCCCGCTGGCCTCCCCCCTTCAGGGAGCCCTGGAGAGGTCCCTCCAAGAGACAGCCCAGCCCAGGGTGGTGTAAATAGGCCAGCTGATGCAAGGATGGTGTTCTTGTGGCTCCCAAGGCCTCAGGCGAGCTGAGCTGGCAGTGTCGATGGCCTTGTGGCCTGGCCGTGGTGGAAACCCCAAGATTCTCAGGATTCAGTGGACGTTCCTGAGGAGGAGGCAGGAGGTGAAATGGGTGCCCCAGGTCCTGCAGCCCACCTGCTGGCAGGTGCCGCCACAGATGTTTGCTGCTGCTTGTCCTGGGGTGAGCCCTGTGTTGGGTGCTCAGTCCAGGGGATCAGCCGTGGAGATACGGATGCAGTGGTGGGGGAGAAGAGCCCAGAATCAGTAGCTGGAATGCAGGGGGCTTGGTTCCAGGGTGGAGATTATTAAGTCTCACTGGAGGTCAGCAAGACTTCTCAGAGAAGGAGACATTTTGAATTGGGCTTTGCGGGATGAGTAGGAGGAGTTTGCCAGGCTGCAAGAAGGGGGCTGGTGAGAGGGTGAGTGCACTGCAGCCCAGGAATTAGCACATGCGAGGACGCAGAGGTGCCAGATGAAATGGTGTGACTGGTGGTTGAGGACTCAGCTGTCACCAGAGCCTGGGCACAGTCAGCCAGCAGGGGTGCCTGAATTTGGATGTTGACAGAGCCCTCCCTCCTTTTGGCCAGGGGCCCACAGTCTCCACATCCTCACCCTTCCTTGCCTGGCTGCCTGAATGAGCAAGAAGCCTGTAACCCACCTGGGGTCGGCGGGGGAGGGGACCCTTTCTGGGTCACCCTCCAGTTCAGCTCAACTCGGGCAGCAATCCACAGGCCTCCATTCTCTGGTGGCTCCTGTTGGCCTGGCCAGGACAGGGTTCCGCCCGCCCACCTGGGAGGCCTCAGCGAGCCTCGCCTCTCCAGGCTCTGAAGTGAAGGTGCCATTGCTGCGTCGGTGGGGAGCCAGGGCTGCAGAGCAGGTGGACTGCAGGGTGAGGCTGAGCTGTTCTCCCTCCCAGGGCCATTGGCATTCCTCGGGTGATCCTTCTGTGCAAGGATTTATGCTCCTTGGGCAGTGGGGCTGTAGAGGACTTGGTCTGAGTAGCAGGCTGGGATCTGGGGGTCGTGGCCCAGCTCTGTGGCCTTAAGCTAGACCTGGCCCCTTTGAGGAGCTAACAGCTGGTTACAGCGTGGGAACAAGTCAGGGACACAAAAAACTGGGCAAGGTCGAACCTGGTCCGGGTAATAAGACAGATCCACAGGTCAGAGGCACTCAGAGGAGGGGGAGGCATCTGGCCTGTGGAATCAAGGAAGGAAGACTTCCCAGTGGGCAGGCCCAGGCAGCCCTTCCGTCTCATGCTGCCCAGATTCCTGCAGCCGCTGCAGAGCGCCACCCCCCTCAGGCCCTGCCCAGCCCGGGCTTGCAGCCACCTGCACATCCACATCTTGGGTTATATTTGGTTTAACTTGCAGCTCGGGACTTCAGGGCGAGAGGATGGGAATGTATGCAAATGAACAAACAGATTTATGCAAAACCAGTATCAGGCTTGTGCCCCCAGATTTCCTGAAGGCAAAAATAATGGTGTTTCCATCTCCCTGCCACATTGGGTGACTGGCCCTTGCTTGGGTGTATAGTGATCTGACTCCAGCTGGTAATTAGCCCATATTTTTAGTTCACGGACAATTCTCAATGGTAACTGGGTCTATTAAACTTGATTCAGACGTGACAGCTGAAATTGTAAACAGCTGTGAAGAGTTTCATACTTAATTACCATATTTAAGTTTTGCCGTAAAGTGCCCATACTTCCATCAAAAATGTAAATGACGGAGACATTCGAATGAGATTTTATACTTCGTGAGGTTTAATTGGCACGCATCAGTCAGCTTGTTTAGGGATTTTAAATGTTAAAGAAAAAAGAGTTTTAAAGGCAGTAGCCACGACTTCATTTCTCAATTAAATCGAGTTGTCTGGTGGAGGGGAAGGGAGTGCAGCTGAGGCTCGTCAGGCCTGAACTTGTGCACTTGAGAGTCTGGTGCTTTCTTCCTGGGGTGGGCTGTCAGGAGGAAGCTAGATGTTGCTTTTAGCTACAGCTATGAGCTCTGGGACTTCCACTGCAGAAGCCAGGCTGGTGAGCCCTGAGCTGGAATCAGAGAGAGGAAGGGGTGGGTTGAATGCAGGCTGGGGGTGAGTCCTGGCCGGAGCGTGGGGCCTCAGGAGGCCTGCCCTGGGAATCAGGGGTGTTTAGACTTGATTCTCCCCTTCAGGGAGCACCCAGAGCAGGTGACACAGGCATGTGAGCTGATGACACTTTCATATGCATGATGTCAGAGAGGGGTAGGCGGGGCTGTAGGAGCCCAGAGCTGACGACATGAGAGGTGACATTTGAGTTGGGTTTGAAGGGGTGGATGGGAGTTCCCCAGGGGTGAAGGGCCAGGGTGTGGCCCCTCTTTACCAGGTGTGTTACGGCACTGAATGGTTTTGGTCCCCTGCCACGGGCACTCGTTAACATCTTGTTCCTGCCAGGAGATGTGTAAGCCTCCTACTACTCTCTGGCTTCCAGTTATAAGCCCCTCCAACCCTGCAGAGTACTAACAGCGTCTAACCTTTGCTTCTCCAGCTGTGGCTCATTCAGGCAGTGGCCGGGCCCCTTCCAACTCTGGCTTTTCTGATCTCAAATTCCAAGGGCTAAATTACTGTGTGAAGTCCTCAGGTAGTCAGGGAGGGCTTCTTGGAGGAAGTAAGCTTCACAGTTAATTGACTTTAGGGAAGCCCAAAGGTAGGGAAAAAAGGGGAGGGAACAGTCATTGCAAAGGTGGGGGCTGGAATGAGTGTGGGAACCCTGGCTGGGCTACAGGTAGTGCAGATGGAGCCCCACCTGCCTGCGGAGGGTGTGGCCTCCTTACACTCCAGGCTGCTTTGGTGACCTGGGAGGGGCCAGGCCTCTGCCTCTGCGCGTGAGGCATTCCAGAGCCTTGGACGGAGCCAGGGCGGGCCTGGCCTGGAGCTCCCGGCCCCCAGTTCAGACTTGCTGTTACCTGCCTGATGCTGCAGTCCTCCCCCAACCCCACTTCCTGTTTTTCAGGCCCAGGCTGTCACCCTCACTGTAGCCCAAGCCTTCAAAGTCGCCTTTGAGTTTTGGCAGGTGTCCAAGGAAGGTGAGTCTTGTTCCCGGACACTGTGGGTGGGTGGAGGTGTACAGGGGGCCTTGAGGGAGGCGGGCAGAGCAGTGTGGGGTGGGGAGGGGATGGTAAAGGCCCTGGAGTCTGGCCTGGGCTGACTCCCAGCTTCATCGTCTACCTGGTTTGTGGCTTGGGACAGGTCCCTCACCTCTCTGACTCAGTTTCCCCATCTGAAGGAATGGGAACAGCTGTCTCCCTTCCCATGGTGCTTGTGAGGGTTAAATAAAATCTCAGAGTTTCTCTTCTCCCTGCTGGAGACCTGCCACCTGCCCCCGAGCTTGGCCACAGCCTGCCCCTGCCCAGTGATTGCTGGGGACGGAGGGCTGGGGTCGGGGGCTCCAATGCTCTGTGCCTTGGTCCCACAGAGAAGGAGAAGAGGGAGAAAGCCAGCCAAGAGGGAGGGGACATCCTGGGCAGGGGCCACTGCGACAGCACCCCCTCGTCAAAAAGCCGTGAGTCTTGGGCAGGGGGAAGAGCTGGATTCAGCTGCGTGACTTGGGGTCTGCCCTTCATCCAGAGGGCCCCGCTCCCTCCTGGGCTGGGGCAAGCTCTTGGTTTTTTATGTTTTATTGCTAAATGATACATGTTGGCTATAGATAAATTAGAAAATGTAATAAAGGGAAAAAATTACTCATTTTGGTGCGTGTGCTTCCAGATAGGTCCCTATGCAAATGTATAAATATATGTGTACATTTCTCTGGGTACACTTTACACCCTGTCGTGTGAGCGCTTAAAAAACTTAACACCTGTTGTGAATTTAAGAGTTCCAGCCTACACCATTAGTGGGGAAGAGATTTTCCCTGTGGGCAGGGGTCCAGCTGCTTCGGGAGGTGCCAGAGGGGGCTCTGGGGGGTCTGGTGATAGGCCTGGGAAGGCCATGCCCGAGGAGGGAGTCAGGACCAGGACAACCCAGGGGCTCCGGGATGGGGCTGGGAGAGGAAGGCTCCTCTCCCCCGACACACCTGACTGACCCCTCATAGTGGTCGCCACTGGGAACCTGCTGGACTTGGAAGAGACAGCCAAGGCCCCGCTGTCCACAGTCAGCGCTAACACCACTAACATGGACGAGGCACCGCGGCCTCAAGCCTTGAACAGCAGCAGTGTGGTCTGGGTGAGTGGTCATGTGGCCTGGGGACCCCACAGGAATCGAGTGAGCCTCAGCCTGATCCCTGGACGAGGCCTGAGGCTGTTCAGGGTTCAGGCCCTGGCACCCACGACTTGCAAGCCTTTGGTGGGGCCAGACCCAGGCCAGCAGCACCCAGGCCCAGGGCAGGGGATGAACAATGTCCCCTTTGAACCCAGGGTTGTGTGCCGAACAAGCTTGGCTCCCAGCACAGCTGTCTCCTCACAATGCCCGGCCTCTTGGCCTGAGCGTACACTGCTCTGCCCACCACAGGACCAGCCAAAGGCTCCCTTGTTCTCGGTGTGGGCAGTTTGCTCCTGACGGCCCTCCCCCCTCAGCTGTCTGATTGAGGAGCCTGAGACTTGGGCAGTCGGCAGTTGGCCCCTGCCTCGCTCTGTGACTCAGGGCAAGCCCCCTGACCTCTGTCTCCTCCATGAGGATGATGTCCCAGAGGAACCTGATTTTTTTTTTTAATAAAAAATTTCTTTTAATTTTTCACTTGGAAATAATTTCAGACATATAAAAAAGTTACAAAAACAATACAAAGAATTCCTGTTCACCCATCATCTAGATTCCCCAAAGGTTAACATCTTACATAACCACATTACAATGATTAAAGTCATTAATGTTGATATGACACGATTATGTAATCTACAGACCTTATTCACATTTCCCCACTTGTCCCTCCAATTTCTCTGGTCCAGGAGTCATTATAGAATCACGCATTACTTTCCTTGTCATGTCTCTTTAATTTTAAAAAATCTGGCATGTTGAGGGCCTTGAGAGACTGTCAAATCCTGCTGCCTGTTGGGGGCCACCCAGCGTCCCCCGAGCAGGCACTGCCAGCCTGTCCTCTGCTCTCTGGGCGCACCCTTGCCCCCTGCCCATCCTACCGGGGAGGCTGTGGAGGGAGTCTCACCCATTTTTTTCCCACCTAGGCCGTGGGATTCTTGCCATCATTTATCCCTCATGAACTTAGAATTTTGGCTTGGATTGTGTTATCTTTTTTTATTTTTTGTTGTTTTTGTGAGGAAGATCAGCCTTGAGCTGACATCCATGCCAATCCTCCTATTTTGCTGAGGAAGACTGGCCCTGAGCTAACATCTATTGCCAATCCTCCTCTTTTTGCTGAGGAAGACTGGCCCTGGGCTAACATCCGTGCCCATCTTCCTCCACTTTATATGGGACGCCGCCACAGCATGGCCTGACAAGCGGTGCGTCGGTGCACGCCCAGGAATCCGAACCCGGGCCGCCAGCAGCGGACCGCGTGCAGTTAACCACTACGCCACGGGGCCGGCCCCTTGGCTTGGATTTTGGAAGTGGATGAAAGCAAGACAGTTCCTTCCCCACCCTCTTCCGCTTGGAATTTGAAAGCTGTAGAAATCGTCCCGTCCAGCTCTGTCGTCTTAGGGAAGGAAAAGCTGAGTGTCAGGAGCAGTGACTTGCCCAAGGTGTCCCTCAGGTAGTGGCAGAGCTGGAAACTGAACCCACCAGGTCTCCAGACGCCCTGTGCGGTGCCCTTTCTCCTGCCCCACATCCCAGGTTCGGGTCCGTGGGCTGAGATGCTGGTGGCAGCGCCCAGGCAGAAGGCCTGCCTGTGCCCGTTCCTTCAGGCACCCACCGACCCCTACGCTTGTGTCCCGAGTCCCTGTGACTTACCCAGAGCTGGGACAAGCCCCGGCTATGAGCACGGGCTCCCCCACTGAGGGTTCACATCTCCTGCTTTGTTTTCCCCAAGGAGCTGGATGACGGCCTGGACGAAGCATTTTCAAGGTAACATGAGCTGGGCTCCTTGTGCTGAGGAAGGAGGCCTGGCATTCGTGGGTTGGTCTCCTGGGCCCTTTGCCATGTCTGAGAACATGAACTCGGACCTTTCCAGAGCAAAACTCTCAACTCAAATACCTCTAGGGATGGGGAACTCACTATCTGGAGTTGGCCGGGTCTGCCAGAAATTTCTCACTGTTGAATCAAAAGCAATTCGTAGTGGCTGCCGTACCACAGTCTGAGGTGAACTAAACACACGGCAGCTCAGGTTGATTTCCTCTTCCTACACTCGGTGTAGCCTTCAAAAACTGGCTTTTTTGCAGGCTTTGTTCTCTCCGGAGGTTTTGAACGTATGGAAAGGGGCAGGGACAGAAGGCAATGCTTAACAAAGCCCATGGAGCATTCCATAGAGGAGGAATGTCAGGCTCAGTGAGAAGATCTTTTGGTCTAGCCTGAGGTGGTGGCATTTCCCCATTTTCCCAGGGGCCATCCCTGTAGCCATGGTCACTTTCAGCTTGGGGACGTGCCACCAAGAAGGCTGCAGCTGAGCAGAGGCCTGGGCAGCTCACAGTTCCTCTGAGCACTGGGACCCAGTCAGTCAGGCCTCCTTTCTCCCTCAGGGGCCCCTGCAGCCCCCTCCCTTCTCCCCGACGCCTTCCTGCCAGAGCCTGGTGGAAGCCCCTCCGTCAGCCCTGGGGAGGTGGGGGGCGGCGTGTGTGTCCCCTTCATGGAGGCAGAGATGTTCTTTTTACCATCTTCTCTGCTTCACTGGCTGCCTACAGCTCCCTAGTTTGAAGAAGACAGTCGTCCTTTTGCAGATCACTCAAGGAGTGTGTGCGCTTTATTAACAACTTTGAAAATCAGCAAAGCATTAAACAGGAAATAACACCATCCCACAGTCCCACAGCCCAGACTTTTGGGCTTAATTCATGCTAATCTTATACATGCTCGTCGTATTTGCACTTGGGGATCCTGCTTTCACCTAACACTGACATATCAGGAGCATTTCTCGGGCTCCTAAAAATCCCCATGTAAATGCCTCGTTCCCTGACTGCCTCACATTCTCCTAAGGATATGGGCCATAATTTACTTGTCCCCTATTCTTTGGACATTTAGGTTGTCTCCCTTTTTAAATTTATCGTTTGAACGGCAGTGTGTTGCACGTAGTTACCGCCAGCAGTCTTCTCATGGTTGTACTGTCTCCCTCCCGCGCGTGCCCCTCTGCCCTCACCAGCGCTGCTCTTTCCCCTCTTTGCTGGGCATTTCCTGATGGAGCCGTGGACGGTGTGGGTGCCCAGGCCTCTCTGTGGCGGGAACGCCGCTGTCTGCCCCACAGTTTTCTGAGCCGGTTGACCCTCAAGGGTAGGCTCTCTGGTCAGAGGCTCTGCCTCTCCTGATGTCCAGGACTTTCTTCTCTGGCCCCTGTGTCCTGGCATTTTCCCATTCATGCCCTCTCACTTCTGACCCTAGTGCTGGCCAAGCTGGACTGGCTCCTCAGGCCCCCACCAGCCCGTTGCCCGGGCCCTCGGTTCACAGAGCTCTGCCTTTCAGGCTTGCCCAGTCTCGGACGAACCCTCAGGTCCTGGACACTGGACTGACAGCACAGGACATCCATTACGCCCAGTGCCTCTCACCTGTTGACTGGGACAAGCCTGACAGCAGCGGAGCCGAGCAGGATGATGTCTTCAGCTTCTGAGGGCCCGGGGCTGGCGGGACTCATGACAGACCAACGCCACCTGCAGTGGGGGCAGCTCCAGGACCCCCAGGCACCGTCTTCCAGTCGGTGAGCAGCACCGTCAGCCTGCAGACCAAAGCTGCAGCCAGTCTAGCAGGGGGAAGGAGAGGTTTTTTTAACCCCGCCCTTTCCCTAAGAACTGGAAGATGCCTTGAATATTTATTCAGTGACTCCTGGTCCGACTGGGAAGCCGGTTTTGCGTCTGGCACGAGTGCAGTGTTATAACCAGCTTCCTGCTGTCTCTTGAGCAAGCTATGCTCTGCTCTGGGTGTCAGGACGGTGACCAAAGCCTTCCTTGTCCCTTCTCTCTTTCTAAGGGCCCAGGTCTCCCTGGAGGTGCCCCTGCTCCTCACTGAAAGTAGTCCGATTGTTCATTTCTGTCATCTTTTGAGTGCAGGAGGGCACCGAAGCCTCAGGAGAGGACCGCATCCTCAGGCTTGCCTTCCGCAGGGACCCAGCAGGCCTGGGCTGGAGCCCCTGGACCTGGGGGCTCTGAGAGACAGGGGCAGCTCCTGACCAAAGACAATACATAGCTGGCACTTTAAAGCACACAGCAGCGTGGCCCCTGGGGGCCCCTCGATGGTGCTGCCTTGCACAGAGCTTGCTTTCTGCCCTTCTTCCACGAGAAGGGGCCCAAAGTCCCTGTAGATGGTCCCCATCAGTGCTCGGAGCCAGTGAAACTGGCTGCCCACAGACTCCCCGAGTCTCACTGGGACAGTGGGGGTCATCTCTGTGACTGCCCTCCCTCGGGTCTGCTGTACGAGGTTGTGCCCACTCGTCCATTGTGTCTGTGTCTGTGTGAGTGTCCCTGGGCCCCACCTCCCTGTACTTCCCGGGATACCGTGTGAAACCTAACGCCTAGACTTGTTTAAGAATATTCTCTTGCCATTTTACAGATGAGGAACCGAGGCCATAAGCTGGAAGGGCTGTAGTCAAGGGTAGAACCCAGACCTGATGCCAAAGCTGCCTTCTCCCCGCCCCCTCACACTCACCCCTTTTTTTTCCAGCTTTGTTGTCCTCCGAGGAACCAAAAACCCCAGCTATTTTCTGACCAAAATGTGTTTCATAACAAACCATCTGGTGCCTTTCCACAGAGAACTGGCATGAGCCTCCGTGCCGTGCTGGCTGTCTCGCCGTTGATTTCCGTAAAAATGGAAGTGTTTGAAGTCTGCTAATTCAGAGGGTGAAACAACCAAAGTCGGCAGGCGTCTTGCCGTCCTTCCCTGACACTCCGACCCCGGTCGGGACATAGCAGCGGCAGTCTGTCTTCAGTCTCCCTCCCTTCCTCCCCTGCCACCCCCCGGGCCCCGGCATCCTGAACCCAGCAGAGCTGCCAGCGCCTTCCCCAGCCCCAGCTGCCTCCCAGGCCTGGCTTTGCTGAGCTTTTCACTCACATCATAGACAGAGCGGGCTTCACCAGCCCAGAAGAACACCCCACTGCTTCGAATCTACTTACCTAAGTGAGCGCTTGAATCACAACACAAAGAAGTGCCTGGTGAGGGGTGGGGTGGATGTGTAGGGTCTCCATCAGAATATGGGGATACTTCCTTGCCCTGCCCAGCTCCTGCACCCCCATGCCCCCACCCCTGACCCTCTTGGTGTCGGCCCCTGTGTGTGTCATGAGGTAGCAAGGGTTGGGCCTGACAAGCTGCCCTTGGCACGAGGGTCCAGGAGCCCCGGGAAGGGCCTTGCTGTGTCTGTGTGGGTTGGGCTGTGGCCTTTGTCTCGGCCTTTGGCCAACAGCGGTCGGTGTGCTGCCCGTGTGTCTGCAGAGAAGTCCTGTGCTTTACTTTGTGTTGCTGTAAAGGAATTTCTAATGAGGAAGATAAGTAATAAACATTCTCTTTTTGAAATACAAAGAGCACTTGCATGGAGCAGTCTGGTGGCCCTGTGGGAGCGCGGCATCCGGCAGCTCCTGCCCTTTGAGGGTGGAGCGGCAGTGACCACAGGCCCAGACATGGGGGATGGTGGTCTGTGGTCCCCCGGTTGAAGCCCAGCAGATGGGGGTGTGTGATGAGGTCATCTCTGGATAGCCCAGCGAGGCTGCCCTGGTGAGCCAGTGTGTTGGCCCTGAAGAGGTCTCTGAAAACCTTGGTCAGGGCTTCCTCGCCGGGGGTCTGTGAATCCCTGAGACGTGCTGGTGATTGTGTGTGTGTCCATGTGTACATTTTTCTTGGGGAGGGTGGCCATCATTTCCATCACATTTTCCAAGGGGTGCACAACATTTATTCACTTGATAAACTTTGTGGCAAACACAGACCGGGCCTGGAGCTCTGCTGGGGATGGCAGTCCAGACAGGGTCTGCCTGGACTCAGGGTGTGTGGCTTGGCTGTGACCGGGGGCTGGGATGGGGGATGGTGGAAAGCGTGTTTCAGTGACTTGGGAGACCCAAGGTATAGCTCTGGCTCTGCCACTTGGGGGCTGTGACATTGGATTAGTTACTTCTTTCCTTGAGCCTGGGTTTCCCCATCTGGGAAAAGGGCACAAGAAGCTCCGCCCTTCCTACCTCCCTGGGTTTTGTGAGACTCAGGTAACCGTTATATTGCTGGTGGCATCCCTGGACGGCTCAAAGGTTATCTCAGAGCAAAAGGCAATTCGGACCAAATACACTGGAGGAAGTCAAAGTAAAATGGATAACAGCAGCAGCTCCTGTTGACAGAGCTCTTACGGAGACATCTCTGCCCGGGGCTGTGCTCTACCCTTCACTGTCTCATCACGGTGGTCCTGGGGAGCCCAGATAGCATTAGCTCCCTTACTGCTGCAGGCACCGAGGTGGGGGGGAAGGCGGACATGCTTCCAGCAGTTGGCGGAGCCGCAGCCCAGACTCAGATCCATGTGACCCTCGACCCCGCCACGTCCTGGCCTCCCAGGATCCGCGTCGGCGGTCATGCTGCCCCTGGCCTCCTGCGGAGCCCCACAGTGCCCGCCACAGAAAGGCTGCTCTCTTCAGGCTCCAGTGGGGGTCTCCTCGGACATTTATCTCTTTGTCCCTCTGAAACAGTGATATTGAAAATGTCCGGAACCTGGAGGCAGAGCCTCTGGTGTCAGCCGTCGGGTAGACTCGCTCTGAATTCTGAGAGGATCGTAGACGACTGAGAAATTCTCGCCTTTCTTCTCCCATAATCTGAAAAGACACCCAACAAGTTCATCTTTCGGTTTAAATTTGGCCAATGTCTTTAGTCTCTGGATGTCTCAAATTATGAATCCTGAGCGCCCGCTGTCTGCCCTTGCATGCGTAACGGATGAAGCTGGGAGAACAAAGTTGCCTTTTAGATTCCATGTGACCTTCAGCTTCGCTGGGTAGATGTTGGGGTCTTCTCTCCCTGGAGCTACCACCCCGGTTAAATCTCTCCAAGGACTTTTCAACAAACCCGGGTGCTGGCTGGGGGTCTGGTCTTCGCCCGGCGTTCCTCCTCCTGCTGCTCCACGTGTGCCGATCACAACGGGGCCCATTCGTGTCTCGGGAAGCGAAATTTCTCCGGTGCTTACTGCATGCCAGGCCCTGTCAGGTCCTTTACGCCTAGGATCGGTGATACTAGTCCTAACAAGCTATGAGGTGGGTGGTCCTAGTCCCATTTCCAGGATGGGACAGCTGAGGGTGAGGGAGAACAAGTGCACGGACCAGAAGTCTCACAGCCAGTAAGGAGTGGACCTGAGATGTGAACCCCAGTCTCTGTGACCCAGAGCTTATTTCCACGGCACCATCCACCCTGTGGAGTGAAGGGCAAATCCAAGCCAAGCAGCCTGTGCCCTGCTCTGCCTGCCAGCAGCCCAGCAAGGGGCAGCCTCTGCCACAGCCAGCGGGTGTCTCCACAGGCAGAGTGGCAAGGCCTAGGCCAGGCGAGGTACCTAAGGCAGGGCCGCCTTCATAGACTGGTCAGAACAGATCCTTCCCGCCTCTTCCCAGGTGGCGGCCCTTTGGGGCCGCTTCTCTGGACTTGCCCAGTTTAGGACTCAGCAGGGCGTGTCTCGTTACGTCAGGGCCCTGTCTTGCCCCCAGAAGCACTGCCCAGGCTGTGAAGGGGGTGGGGTGCAGGATGAGCTTTGGTCTCCCTCAGAGGAGGAAGGCTTCCTCTGGGAGCAGACTCAGTGTGTTGCTGGCAGTGAATGCCAGCCTCAGAGGGGCCGGGAAGGAGAGAGACACGTCTCTGAAGCACAGGCAGCATCTACACACGTTAGCTAGTCTAAGCAGCTGCACGGTGACTGTGCTAGTAAGCGTTGTGAGCCCATTTTAGAGGCGATGAAACTGAGGTCCATGGAGCTTATGTGACCTGCCAGCCTCACACAGCTCGTAAGAGGCAGGCCTGGGATTCAAAGCCCACGTGTTCTCCACTGTCCTGGGGTGGCCCTGCCTCTCTCCGGGTCACTTGGAACATTTGAGCAGCACCATGACCTTGCTTGCTTAGGAGCTTCTGAGCCCCGCACAGAGTAACCGTAGCCAGGTGCCCGGCACACGGATGCTGGGTCAGGTTGGTGCTTTTGCGTCCAGCCAGGACAGATGTGAGCTGTATCACAAGTCATTGTTGCCAAGCAACAATTCTGACCACCTGCTGAGCCCCGGCATGCAGTGGGGCTGCCATGACCTGTCCTGACCGCTTCACGGTCCAGGAGTTGTGGGTCATGGTGCCCTGGAAAGCGGGGTGTGGGCTAGGTTTGTACCACACTAGGTGGACATGGGAAGTCAGAGCTGAGGAAGCCAGGGAGGTCCTGGGAGAGGGGAGTGTTCCGGCTGCGCCTTGAAGGAGGGTGGAAAGGTTGGAGGCTGCCTTTGCTAGCCTGGGAGCTCCAAGAGGTCAGGGCCTGTGGCCCCAGTGCCCAGCATAGCACCTGGCACAGAGTGGCCCTCAGTGACTTCAGTCAGCTCATCAAAAGGGGGAGAACCAGCCCAGCTTCCTGCGAGAACCTGTTGAGAGAAGAGGCAGCCCTGGGTCGGTAGGTGAGACTGGAACCTCTGCAGCCTGATGGCCCACTTGCAGGTTATCTGTTCTGGAGGCAAACCCATCCTGTGGCAAACCCCCACCTCCGTCCCCCCACCATGTGCTCTGGGCCTTGGCGCTCTGGGTCTCTGTCACACACAGCCGTGGCCTGGTACACCCAGCCCAGCCTGGTTTGGTAAAACGTGTGGTCTCCTCCTCTGCCCTGACCAAAGATCCTGGTTTTCA